GGGGCTCCCAGGTAGAGGATTTGCTCGAGAGGCTCTGCTCCAGCTCTTCCGAAATCCCTGCCGAGGCCACGAATGGCGCAGCTGCCTTCCACAGCATCCTCTTTTGCTCTCTTCACATGTGAATGACCCTCTCTCAGCTCTTAACCAACAGCCTCATTATTTCCAGAACTTTACACCAAGGTCTTGGTGCAAATGAACCAGGACTTAAATCAGATGGGATCACACAGAATCACCCGTGCGAAAATGCAGGGCGCCATTTTAAAGTGAGCAGACCCCTGGAACGAGGTGACAATGAGAAAAGTCCCCATCTCGCCTGGAATGTACAAGAATCTGCCAGCTTATTTTTACAAAAGCTCTCTTTAATTACGCAGGAAATTTGTTTACTTTTACCCGCAACATATTTAACACTTGCAGAATTTAACAGAGTCCACCTATTGCTTTTTTAAAAAATTGTTTTAAAGTTTATTTGAGAGAGAGAGAGAGAGAGAGAGAGAGAGAGAGAGCGCGTGAGCATGCACAGCTGGGGAGGAGCAGAGAGAAGGAGAGGCAGAATCCCCAGCAGGCGCTGTGCCATCAGCGCATAGCCCAATGCAGGGCTCGAACACACATACTGGGAGATCATGACCTGAACTGACATCAAGAGTCAGACGCTTAACTGACTGAGCCAGACACCCCTACGTACTGCTTCTTTTATCTAGAACTGTCAGATTCACCCTGGACTGAATATTTGAGAAGCAAATACAAATATAAAGTGTAAGCCTGCTCCGAAGAGACACACTTTCCTGGCCCGCTACATGCAATCTTCTTTTTTGCCAGGCCGATTTCTCTCCCTCCTGATGCTTTTTCTTTCTGGGCCCCTCGAATGAGGTAACAGATGCTCTGCATTTCATGCCAGCTGGGGCAGAAGAGAAAGAGAAGTGGTGTGGCTTCTTACTTGGCACGCTATGGTCTCCCACGTGCTGTTGTGGCTGTCCCAGAAATGACAGCGAGTGACGGCAGTTGCCGCCTAGAGCAGGGTGGGTGTGCGCTGGGCACTCTACTGGCTTTTATTCAGCACAGCTGTTGTGTAGTAGGCGCTGCTCCCATACTGCAGACTCTCTGGAGCCAGCACCCTTGTACATTCCTCATCTGAGAACAAAGAACAGGGCTTACTTGCATTTCCAATGGGACAAAATTACTATCAGAACGCTCCTTCTGAAGGATCTATTGTTATTATTATCATTATTTTACAAGTGGGGAAAGGATTAAGTTTAGAATTACAAATGACTTTCAAGAAAATGACCAGTTGCACAACCTGGGGTTCTGAGTTTCTCCCATTCCAATAAAAAGCTGTGTTCTTTTGACAGATGAAGATTTAGGTCTAATGAGTCAGAATATATGATGAGTTTTAGAAAAATGAATGAATCACACACCCAAACGAGTAGCTACAAGACGGAGCTAAAAGAAGAAGCCCAAGAACGAAGCAAGGATGGGAAGGGTGTGGTTCCAGGAAAGAGCCCTGATTCGAGGCCCAGCTCTGTCACCAGATGGCTGTTAAGGGCTAAGGCAAGTCACACCATCTCCTTAATGTTCTCATCTTTCCGACAAAGTCTCCGGACCAGAGGATGTCTAAGATCCCCAAGGGACATGATATTGCCACGACTGGCAAGGAAAATGGGGCGCATGTTCTGAGTCGGAAAAAGCTTGTCTGTAACACAGACAGAACTTTATACCCGGGAGCCCAGGATGAAAGGTGCTGCCTCAGGTACTGTGTCTAAGAGCAGGAATCACCTAAAAAGTGATCATACGTGTTAGCGAGGCCTACAAAACAGCCAGAAGCTTGTTCAACATGAGAAGACTGTAATGAGAGGGGATTATAACATGCTTTATATTTTATAACATGGTTATTGCCACTCCTCCACACATTTTTTAAATGCAAACAGTAGCTCTTTATTAAGATTCTTCAGTATTACAATAAATTGATTTTTAATGTTTATTCTTGAGAGAGAGAGAGAGAGAGAGCATGAGTGGGGGAGCGGCAGAGAGAGAGAGAGAGGGGGAGGGAGACACAGAATCCGAAGCAGGCTACTGGCTCCAAGTTGTCAGCACAGAGCTCGATGCAGGGCTCGAACTCACGAAATGCGAGATCATGACCTGAGCTGAAGTCGGATGCCTAGGCGCCCCAGTACAACATTTAAAGTTGAAATCCAGTGAATATGTTTTTTGGTCAAGTACATCTAAGGCACTATTTATGTATCTCAGAAATTCTTAACTTTTTATATATGTCTCAAATTCTTCACTTTTCTAAGCCACAGTGTAGTCATTTTGATATTAAACCAAGATTTACTGAGGTATCTCTGGCCTGACCCAAATCTAAGATTAGAAATAAAATTGGAAATATATGTGTATGTGCAGGAATTTTACTTCTCAACATTAAGCAAAGTTTCAACCATATGGAAAGTTGACCCATTTAATCACTAACCAGATTCTAGAATTAACATTTTACTAAATTTGCTTTATCACATATATATCTGGATCCATTCCACAATCCATCTTTAAAAAAAAAAATGTGTTTCATGGTCATATACATTCCCACGTGTGATAAAATTACATGGAATAAACATACATACAGGAGTACAGGTAAAACTGATGAAATCCAAGTAAGGTCAATGCTTTGTATCAATGTCATTTTCTGGTTAGGATATAGTGGTATAGTTATGCAAGATGCCAGCATGAGGGGAAACTGGGTAAAAGGTATGAGCTCTTTTATTTTTCACAATTGCATGAGAATCTAAAGTTATCTCAAAATAAAAAGTTGAAGAAAAAGAAGAAAAAAATGCATTTCAAAGTAAGTTTCTGATTGGGGTTTTACCTTTTTGCCATACCTGATTCTTTGGAAGGGTGATGTTCAGGTTGAAGTGGGTGTGGTTAGGCTGATACTGGAACCCCAGGTAGAGCGTCATTAAAAGGGGACTTTCAGGTTCTATGCACACGATCAGGGATTTCTCCAGGGAAGTGATGCTCACTGTCATAACAAAATGGTCTGAGCTCATGTTGATGCTGGTGGGATAGATTTCCACGCTAACATTTCTCCACAGCATGATCTAGAACGAGACAGTTAACCAATCTTCAAGATGGTTCATCTGTTGATGCCTTTCAGTCTCCTTTCTAGTGATAATGGAATGTAACTTCCTAGGTATTCCTCCATGAATATCTGTAGGGATTAAGGGAGAGTATATAATCTCAAACCTAAAACACCTCCTAAGGGTAAAGTAGTTCTTGTAAAAGTTTCCAAGTGAAGATGTGAATAATAAAATAATGGCACTGCCATGAATCTAAAATGGCTTCCTTCTATCCTATTCTCCAAGAATTCCTATTCCCTTCTATTTCATTCCTTTATAATGAAGTCATACCTCAATATCTTCCACTAAATCATGGACTTGGAAAAATTTATGATTAGAGCTTAGCAACACACTTTCGATACTTCCAACAATGTTGTCATCAAAATCCCTGAAGGAACTGAAGCTAGTCCTATTACCTAGAGACAAGAAAATTTGTTTCATCAATTGCTGAAATCTATTACCTAACACCCTGAAAGGTAATAATGTATCAGATATCAGAAATCAAAGTAAATGTTGGGATTTTCCCCTTGCTAATATCTCAGCTGAAATAATATTTCTCATTATAACATCATACGAGGAAGAATTAAAGATGAGTCATTTACTTGTGACCCTCAGAATTATTATTTTTTAACATTTTTAAACCTGGAGGATTCATTATTACTAGGAAGGAAGTATTCTGCTCTCCAGGATAAGACAGCAATCTTGCTCTTGTTTGTTAGGTAAATGCCAAAAGAGATACACTATATACTGATATGGATAAGTTGGTATAACGAGTCAATACTTATTCAGATATTCCTAGCTTCATATATAAATAGTGAAGAGTTGAGATCAATTCAAACCATAACACAGAAACTCAGTTAAATCCAGAGGTCTGTTTAATGCTTCCCACCTCTACAGTGGCTCATTTTTTTTTAATGTTCACTTATTTATTTTTGAGAGAGAGAGTGCAAGAGCAAGCACACACATGCACATGAGCAAGGGAGGCGCAGAGGGAGAGGGAAACAGAGAATCCTAAGCAGGCTCTGTGCTGTTAGTGCAAAGCCCAATGTGGAGCTTGATCTCACGAACCGTGAGATCATGACCTGAGCTGAAACCAAGAGTCAGACACTTAACCGAGCCACCCAGGCACTCCTCCATTTTTAAGAGGCCTCCACTTCAGCCATTGTAAAACAGAAATCCATGGCACCCAGCCTTCTCTTATTTGGTCTGGCCAGCTTACGTATCATGGTGCATCCAAACGCCTGTAGCCATCAATCCCAACTCCATTTGGGTCAGAATCAATTTGACACTCACTTGAACATTAAATCCTGGTTGTCTGTTCAAGAGCTCTTCCAAAGCTGAAGCCCTTGGAAAGCCTAACCTCACAGCTGCTGGGGACCCTAGAGTATAGGAGCTCAGGGGCCAGGTTGACATGTTTGGCTAATGAAGGAGAAATTAAATGGAAATCAACCTCTGTGTGTTTTCTAAAGATCAGAAACCTAAAATGAACCACTCTCCCCCTCCTCCTCTGTTACCTGCTCAGCATCAGAGAAGCAATGATAGAGGTCAAAGTCACTAAAGACTCAGAAAACTGGTTCTGCTGTAGAAATGTTCCCTTGATCTTCCCAAGGGCCAGCAAGGCCATTTCCAGCATATTTTCTACCTGCATTGAGAAGGAAATACCATGTGACCTGTGTGGCCTTTGTGGATAATGGTTTTGGAGGGGTTGGAAGGAGGACAAAGACCTGGACAGTGACATATTGAAAGATGACATTCTTTTTTTTTTTTTTTTTTTTAACGTTTATTTATTATTGAGAGACAGAGAGAGACAGAGCATGAGCATGGGAGGGGTAGAAAGATGGGGAGATATAGAATCTGAAGCAGGCTCCAGGCTCTGAGCTGTCAGCACAGAGCCCAACGTGGGGCCCGAACTCACAAACCGTGAGATCATGACCTGAGCCGAAGTCAGACGCTTAACCGACTGAGCCACCCAGGCGCCCCTGAAAGATGACATTCTTTGCAAAGGACCCAAAGAAAGTATTTGTAGTCTGGCTAAAGACTCGCCATCCTTTGTATCAACTAACAGGGCCATCCAAGAAAATATTTCTTTGTCCCATGATATAAGCTTCTCTAGACCTACTTAAAATTTTTTTTAATAAATTTATTTTTAGTAATCTCTACACCCAGCATGGGGCTGGCACTCATGTCCTGGAGATCAAGAGTTGCATGCTCCACCGACTATGCCAGCCAGGCACCCCTGCCTGTGACCTACTTATGAGAGGTTTTCACAAACAGTTGTATTACAATGCAATTCACAATACAAATCACCCACTTAGAGTATACAAGTCAATGTTTTTTTGGTATATTCACAGTGCAACCATCACCATGATCTAATTTTAGATAATTTTCATCTCCCTAAAATAAACCCAGTACCCAAGTACCCAGCAGCCAGCTGTCTCTGTCCATTCTCCTGTCCCTATGCCCCCCCCCCCCCCCCCCCCCCCCCCCCCAGCCCTAGACAACCACCAATCTACATTCTGCATCTAGAGATTTTCTCTTGTGGACATTTCATAAAATAGAATCACAATACGTGGTCTTTTGTGCCTGGCTTCTTTCACTTGGTGTAATGTTTTCAAGGTTCACCCATGTTGTAGTGCTTCATTCTTTTTTGTTGCTAATGTAACAAATATAACACATTTTACTTATCCATTCGTTGGATCAGGGACATTTGGGTTGTTTCCGCTTTTTGGCCGTTTGACTATTTGAATCATGCTGCTACAAACACGACTGTGCAAGTTTTAGTGTGGACGTATGTGAGCCTATTCCAAGGAGTGGGATTGCTAGGCCACATGGGAAGTTCCTTTTTTAACCTTTTGGGCAACTGTCAAACTGTTTCCCAAAGTGGCCGTATCATTTCACAATCGAATAATGTACGAGGGCTCGAATTTGTCTGCCTCCTTGCCAACACTTGTTACTGTCTGTATTTCTGGGTACAAAGTGGCATTTTATTGTGGTGTGATTTGCATTTACATAGACCGATGATGGTGAACATCTCCTCAAATGAATACAGAAATGCAAATCAACACGAAAATGCAAGTTTAACTTACTGAGTGTCTACTATATGCCAAACACCATACTGAGCTCTTTTCACTGGATTATAGCACTAGGGAGGTTTGGCGCACAGATGAGACACTGAGGAAGACCCAGAGCGGGTCTAACGGTGGTCTCTTCAGTGGTGCCGCTTGGCCGGAGACTCTTTAGAGATCGAGGAAGAGGCCGTGTGATACCTGGATCTGCCAAGATTTAAAAAGTTTCTAAACTGAGTTCGACATCAGCATGTACTGTACCTACCTGCTCAATGGCATGCTTGGACCTCTGTGGACTTGCTCCAGCAGCTTCCATCACAGTGTCGAGGGACTCGGAGAGGCAGGCAGTTGGGGGGTTTTGAAACCCAGACTGCTTTGCTCTGAAATGTGCTCTCTGGTGACTTCTCACTCAGGTAAACATGAGGACTGATGACACTAACCTGGGAGATTTTGGAAGCAAACACACAGCCCCGAGCTGTTTCTGACTGTTTTAAGTTTACTTGTGTTCTTCTTATAAGGAGTTCAATTTCTTTATGCATTTCAATGCATTTTTAAAAATATTTATTTATTTTGAGAGAGAGAGAGGGGTGGGGATAGGGGCAGAGAGAGAGAGTGAGAGAATCCCAAGCAGGCTCTGCGCCATCAGCATGGAGCCCAATGTGGGGCTCCATCTAATGAACCCTGAGATCATGACCTGAGCCGAAATCAAGTGTCACATGCTTAACCCACTGAGACACCCAGGTGCCCCTCAAACGCATTTTTATAAAAAGCAATATTACAGGAGTGTGTGGCTGAACATGGAGCCTGCTTAAGATTCTTTCTCTCCCTCTGCCCCTCTCCCATCCCTGCACTCTCTAATAAAAAAAAAAAAAAAAAAAAAA